GATCAATTATTGAGAGGAGGACCCTGAAGTCTCAAACTTTTACCGTTCAATTGTCTGTTTTCCTTTTGATTCTGTCCGATCTTGTTTCATGTATTTTGGGTTGTTAGGTATGTATTTCTTTTGTTAGAGCTTCCTGATGAATTGACATTTTCTAAAATGTCCCTCTGATCTCTAATAATTTTTGTCCTAAAGTTACTTTTGTATTGTGGTATTAATCTTGCCACTCCAGTTCTCTTCTGATTGCTGTGTACATGTGTATCCTTTTTACTATTACTTTCAACACATTTGTGTCCTTCAATCTAAAGTGTGTCTCTTGTACACTGAAAATAATTGGATTGTATTTTTAAATTCATTTGGAGAATCTGCATTTTGATTTATGTTTAACCCTTTTGTGTTTCATATAATTATTGATATCATTGGAATTACTCTGCCACTTTGCTGCTTGTTTTCTCTATGTCACATATCTTTTTATGGTTTTTTGGTTCATTTTTATTATGTTTTGTGTTAACTAGATATTTTCTAGTGTACCATTTTAATTCTATTGACTGCTTTTGTTCCTCTGTATAGAGAGTTCTTTGTTTCTTTGTGTTCTGTAAAATGTTGATGTAAACTGGACATTTAGATAACATATTGCAGCAAATATGGATTCTCGTCCCCCCTCTTAGAAGTTGTTGTTGCTTTTGTCTGTTGGCTTAGTAAATTACCTCAACTATTTTATAGAGCCTATTTCTTCCACACCATCTCTGCCCAGTTGTTTTCATTCTTTGGCATGGTTTCCCAGGAGCTGTGACTGGATTATTAAATATAGTGGCCCACCAGCGATTATTCAGAGGTTTTGCTTGAACATCTTGAGTCAGTGAGGCTTCTCCTCTTGCAGATGGATCTGTTAAAACTGCTTTCGAAATAGAGGCAGTCTGCATGCAAGTCTTCCCCAACTTTTCCTTTCTCCTGGATCTCTTCTGGTCTTCTCTGCATGTGTGCAAGGCCTCACACTCAACAGCAACAAGTAGATGTCTGGGATCTTCTCTGGTCTCACCTGCGTACGACAAGCAGCCTTACGCATGAACACAGCCTTCCGGGACAGCAGAGGCTTCTGGCAGCTTATCAGGGCCCATGATAGCTGTTTTGTTTTTATTCACATTTCTGGCTGGCTTGTTCCAGCCAGATTGTAGTCTCAAGTAGCTGTGATCTTGTCCTTTCCCAGTTGTTTACCACTAAGCTCTGTTATTTTTGACGAGCCCCAAGGCTTGAACCTTTTTCTCAAGTCAGTGCTGCTGGTTTTTGTAGTAATTCTTTCAGAACTGGTAAGGATGGGGGTTCAACAGAAAAGACCCCTTCCCCACTGCTCCTGTCGAAGTTCAGTACATTTTCTTATATAAATGTTTTTCAATATGTTATATGCCTTTGCTCAATTTACAAAGACCTGTAACAGCTGTTTATGACAACTTTGTCCAGTTTTATCATTGTCTTTGGGGATAAGATTTGCTGAGCTCCATACTCTACCATTCCCACATTCACACTCCGTCCCACAGCCCCTTTATTCCTCCCTCTACCTTCTGCTGGGACAACTCAAGTATTTCCTCCTCATTGAATAATATCGGCAATAGCTTTTCCCTGGCTTCTAATATAGCCCCAGGAACATGTGTGCCCGAACATCTCTGATCCTGTACCTTTAAATTTTATTATTTTAATTATTTTTAACATTTTACTTTTCAATTACGGTTAACATTCAGTATTATATTATTTTCAGGTGTACACCATAGTGATTAGACATTTATATACCTTATAAAGTGATCACCGGTGTAACTCGAGTAAGAACCTTTAACAGTTCCTCTACTGTAAAGGACACGTGGACAAAACCAAGGGGGAGGGTGGAAGCAAGGGAGGGAAGTGGATGTGGCTGGGGTGGGGGGAGTAGTGGGGGGAAAACGCTACAGTTGCAGACAACTGTAACTCAACAACAATAAAGTAATTTAAAAAAATAAACACACACACACACACACACACACACACACACACACACACACATGGAATCTTTAACAGTTCCTTAGTTGTGTTTGCTCTTCACTGTAGGCGGTAATGGTTTGTTTGTGAGCTACCCTCCCGGCCTTGCTGTTCTCACACTTAGCCATTAACTGCTTGTTAGAGGCCCACAGACTTACTAACCCTCCTCAGGGCATCAGTGTAAGTTATCAGGTAACCAGCTAACTCTACTCTTTTCACAGGTATTGTTACACCCATATCTCTCAAATGCCTGAATTGTCACACCTGTCATAGCATTTCCCTTCACTGAGACATTTCCCAGGTCAGCACTAGGAAGTCTTTAGTAATTTTATTACCACTCTGTGCCAGACACTGGATCACAAGTAAGCCAGTCCCAAATCCCCTGCTTACTACCTTTCTCAGACTACTCTTGGTACCATGTTCAGGTTCCCAAGAGCAGATGCCAAGAAGGAATTAGATATGCAGAGTTATTAGGAAGAATGGCCATGAGGGAAGGTGAAGGTTGCCAGGGGAGGCTGGGATTGCTGAAAGGTCAACGATGCAGATTGACCCTTGTGAAGGAGATATGGAAGAATGGGTGAAAGAATCTTTTGTTTTTTATTAAATATTTTATTTATTGTTAGAGAAAGGGGAAGAAAAGAGAAAGAGGGGCACAGAAACATCAATGTGTGGTTGCCTCTCACACGCACCCAACTGGGGACCCCGCCCACAACCCAGGCATGTGCCTGACTGGGAATCAAACTGGTGACCCTTTGGTTCACAGGCCCGCACTCATTCCACTGAGCTATACCAGCCAGGGTAGGTAAAAGAATCTATTGACTCAGTGAAGTTCTCAGAAAATTTGTCAAGCCAGTGGGGGGTCCTCAAACTAAGACTGGCAGTGGGAGGAGTCCTGCATCTCCCAGGATTGGATCTGCCTTATATAACTAAAGTACACCTGCCTTCTTCAGTCACTGCCTAGGAGTAGCTCATGGAAAATGTGGCTTCAGTACAAATACAGCAATAGATTACAGAGCACAGAAGCTGGGACTGTGAAATATAAGGCTTGTCTGAAAAAGTTAAGCCATTGTTAATGTTACAAGAATAGTTTGTATGACATTGACGTAACCTGGCAGCCAAGGAGAGTGGACTGGTATGCACGTGCGTGAACAATGACGACTTCACTGTACAAGTCAGTGGGGATGTTGGACAATGTGGAGTAAGCATATGTACTGTGTGGCTGTCCCATTCAAAAGACTGGGCAAGTAGAGCAACAAATCTGCACCTGAGTTTGAATTAAGCTTGAACATTCCTCTGTGGAAACTATTTGGATGATTCAGAAAGCCATAGCTATAGGTATCTGGTGATTGGCAGCTTCATCATGACAATGTGCTCGCTCATGCATCAAATCTCATGAAGTTTTTTGACAAAATATGAAATCACCCAGGTGATTCAGCCCCCTACAGCCCAGGTTTGGTACCCCGTGACTTCTGGCTTTTCCCAAAACTAAAATCACCTTTGAAAGGGAAAAGATTCCAGACCATTAATGAGATTCAGGAAAATACAATGGGGCAGCTGATGGTGACTGGGAGAACTGTGTGAGGTCCCAAGGTGCCTACTTTGAAGGGGACTGAGGCATCATTGTCCTATGTACAATGTTTCCTGTGTCTCGTATCTTCTGCAATAAATGTCTCTATTTTTCATAGTACATGCTGGATACATTGTGGACAGACCTCGTATACTCTGTAGTTGGAGTTCTGCGAGCCACAGTAAACAGTAGATTTCATGGCTACCGTACTTATTCTTTGTTTTCCTTTTAATTAACTTTCTCAGCTTTTCATTGTTACTTAATCTTTTCCCTTTTACTACTAATCTGCCTTTGTATTTCATAATTAATATTTAGACAAAGTGCTACTGAGTCACTAATGTTTGAGAAATAACAGTGGAGACAAAATTGGTCAGAAGACAGTGTGGAAAGATAAAGGTATGATCAGTGGAATTTTAAGGGAATAATATATGCTGATTTTGAAACAAAATGTTGAAAATTGGCTTCCCACTTTTCTCAAAATTTATAAAGAATGTAGAAAAGTTTGTAACCTATGCTAGAAATAAGATTTAAAATATTTTCACCTATAGACTATGACAAAGGCCATCTACTTTAGTAAATGTCTACTATCTTTTGGGACCTTAAGTTCTCCTTTTGAATGCCTTTCTGTGCTATGCCTTGAATTGTCAGAGGTAACCAGTGCGTGACTTGGTTGATGTGTTTTGGAAGTTCCGTTCACTGCCCAAATGTTCTTGATTTAGATTGTCTTAAACAGGTAACCAGAAATCTTAAGAGTTTTTACAAAATCAGGTTTATATAATCATATGTATTGCATCCTTATTGCTATTATGTGCATAATTTTTATTCATTACATGCATGCCTCTAAAAATTATCATCTTTCATTGGGATGAATGTTTTTTCTTGACATTCTCTAATGTTGTTTACACAAGGATGCACATAAGTGAGCTTGAATCATGTTACTTCATTAGACTAAAGCAGTTAGCGTGGCTGGAAGAGGTACCCATCTGTGTTGTAACAGCAGGAGTGAAACCACATCAATATGTATGTCTATGGGAAATGTCTAGTCTGAGAAAACAATTTATTCACAAAACTCTGTTTTCAATGCTTGGAACTTTGCTGCAAACCAAAGCAGGCAACCCAGAAAACCATTTGTCCCTCTGTATAATTTGATGAAAACTGCTCCATTCCTGTAGGCGTGGCCTTGGACATTAAGTTTATTATCTTTAACTGCATCAAATCCCATTTAGCATTGGTGTTGAAAATCAAATTATCATTGCTACCTTAGTTTTCATGTAAACTGGAATCTGACAAATTAAACTGGTAGATTTATGGCTTGAAAGAAGGAACTATTGTAGTACATTCTCTGTCTGTGGACACATCTTTCTCATTCCAGCTATCTTTTCCCACTACTTAGGAAGATGTTTTAACATTTTTAAAAAATTATATTTTAGTGCTTGCTTTGGCAGCACATACACTAAAGTTGGAACAATACAGAGAAGGTTAGCGTGGACCCTGTGTAAAGATGGCATGCAAATTCGTGAAGCATTTCATATTTTTGGATAATGGGGGAAAGAAGGGGAAGGGTTGTCAAGAAACACATAGAAAGGACCCATGGACAAAGCCAAAAGGGGGAAGGATTGAGGGTGGGGCGGGGGAAAGTAGTGATGGGAAAATGGAGACAACTGTACTTGAAAAACAATTAAAAATGCAAAAAAATTATTTTATTGATTATGCTGTTACAGTTCTCCTGATTTTCCCTCTTTGCCCCCCTCCAACCAAGCACCCCCCACTCCCTCAGGCAATCCTCTCCCCTTTGTTCATGTCCATGGGTCATGTGTATAAATTCCTTGGCTACGGTATTTTCCTATACTGTACTTTACATCGTCGTAGCTATTCTGTGACTACCAATTTGTACTCCTTAATCCCCTCCCCTCTTCACCCATTACCCCTGATCCCCTCCCATGTGGCAACTATCAAAACACTCTCCATAGCCATGATTCTCTCTTCTTCTTGTTTGCTTAGTGTGTTTTATAGATTCAGTTGTTGATAGGTATGAGTTTATTGCTATTTTATCATTCATAGTTTTGATCTTCTTTTTCTTAGCTAAGTCCCTTTAACATATCGTATAATAATGGTTTGGTGATGATAAACTCCTTCAGCTTTTTCTTGTCTTGGAAGCTCTTTATCTGCTCTTTGATTCTAAGTGATAGCTTTGCTGGGTAGAGCAATCTTGGCTCTAGGTCACTAACCACTTTTCTCTTTCTGCTTTTAATATTCTCTCTTTATCATTAATCTTTGGCATTTTAATTATGACATGTCTTAATGTGGGCCTGTTTGCACCCATCTTGTTTGGGACTCTTTGTGCTTCCTGGGCTTGCGTATCTATTTCCTTCACCAAATAAGGAAATTTTTCTTTCATTAGTTTTTCAAATAGATCTCCAATTTCCTTCTCATTCTTTTCTCCTTCTAGCACTCCTATAATGCAAATGTTGGTATGCTTGAAGTTGTCCCAGAGGCTCCTTACACTATCCTCATTTTTTTTTTATTCTTTTCTCTTGTTGTTCTGATTGGTTGTTTTTTTATTTCCTTGTATTCCATATCATTGTTTTGATTCTTGGCTTCATCCATTCTACTGTTGATTCCCTGTAAATTGTCCTTTATTTCCATTAGTATGTCCTTCATTGCTGACTGGTCTTTTTTGTGCTGTTGAGGTCCTCACTAAGTTCCTTAAGCCTCCAAAACCTTTAAAACCAGGGTTTTGAACTCTGCTTCTGATAGATTGCTTATCTCCCTTTTGTTTAGTTCTTTTTCTGAGGCCAGCTGCTGCTAGTGCTGGACCTGGGGCTGCTTAGCCAACGGTACAGGGACTGGGGCTCACAGAGGCTGGTTGTTGCTTGTTTGAGAAGATTTAGGAAGATGTGAAGCCTGAGCCAAGACCAGCTATTCCTATGGAAAAGCCACTGTTAACAGCTTGGGCAGGCCATAAGTTAGGTAGGGTGGAGCCTCAGGGATTCCCCAGGGCAGAGCAAACCATGTGAGCCTGGTTGATGGAGTCTCAGATATAGTACCTGCCTGCCAGCTGTGTGGCTCTGTGAAGGGAGTGCTCAGAAAAGGAACAATGGCCTCTGCCTACCTTTCTGTGTGGGAGAAAGCTGTCCCTCAGCTCTCGCCCAGATGTCAGATACCTCAGTTCTTCCCTTTATACCACTGATGCCCTTCAAACCTCTGCCCTGGTGCTGGACCTCATTGGGAGTGAGTCTGAGTAAGTCCGTGTGCAGGCACTTTAAGAGGAACTGCTTGGGAATCCAGAAGTTCCTTCCACTGACTCAGTCCCTGCTGGTTTTTGCAGCCAGAAATTTATGGGGACTTATCTTCCTGGGACTGGAACCCTGGGCTGAGATGCCTGATGTGGAGCTGGAACACCTTGCTCTTGAGATATCCCTCCCAGATTTTTATGCGCCACTTGTTGGTGTAGAACCAGCCTTCACATCTTCACATCTCTGTGTTGCCTGCCAGTCTGGATGGATGCAGTTTCTTTAGTTCCATAGTTAGACTTCTCGATTTCTGACAGTTCTGAGTGATGGTAGTTCTGTAGTTGTAATTTTGATATGGTTGTGCAAGGAGATGAGCTGTGTTTCCCTATATCTCCATCTTGACCAGAAATCTGTGTTTTAACAATTCAATAGGACCAATTAAGTAGAAGTCTTTCTTCAAGCTGTTCATGACAACTAGACATATTAACGTGCAGGATGGGTGGGGCAAAAGTAGGTTTTCAGTTTGTATGGAAAATAATGCAATCATCAATAAATAATAATACAAGAATTAACTCTTTCACATCACATATCCACAACTGTAAACCTACTTTTGTCCCACCTTGTATATGAATTTGGGAATACATTTTAACTGGGAATCACTATGTCTTAATCACATGACCATTTTACTGGAAAGATGTACAACCATCTGTATGAGTTCCTGAGTCTCTTATACGTGTGGGTTAGTGAAGAAGGAGGTAGAGATAAACCTTTAAACCGTTACAGTTAGTTCTTGAATTTATGTGCCAAGTAAAAGTGGCTCTGATAATCCCAAAGAGTGGATTATTGAACTGCTCTTTCTCTTTGATGTGACCATGGTTAAGGAAAAATTTATCTCTCTTGACACATTGGCCTTCTTAAGTCTATTTGACTTATGTAATAAAAAGTAATTTTTTGACTTAGCTTGTTTGTGTTCCAAGAGCCAGGACGCCAAGGACAAAGGGCACTCAAGAAACATGCTGGTTAGTAGGAAGAATTTGGCCACTATTAAACATTGTTAAAAAAATGGTTAAGTTAAATAAGGAAACCGTGAGAGATTACTTCCTTAATTGAGCACTGAATGATCAGGGGGATATTCTTTCCATTCAAATTTTAGAAAATTGCTTTTAAAATCTTTATATTTCTTTTAATATTTGTGCACACTGATGAAATACAGTAGACTGCGCATTTTGAATAAGCAGCTCAGAAGCACGCTGCCACATTTTAGAAAACACTGATCTGAAACATTTGACTGTATAATTTAGTGACTGTTATCATCATCATACATTGACAGTATATAACACTTTAGTTAATATAAAATTGCTTATCTAATGTGTAGTGTATGCTGTTTAGTATTAACTTATATATTATAAAAATGATCATTTCACCTTTCAGGGAAATGCAGGTGACTGGCTACATATACAATTAAAATTATTTTAGCAAGAGCTTGTCTATATGAAAACTCTGCTTAAAATCAAAGGAAAATAAAGTAAGTTTTCCATGGTAATTTTGTTTTAACTTTGTGTATCAGTGACATATTTGTTAATCATATTGTTATTCCCATAGGAGAATAGAAAAGAAAATCAGATATAGCTAAAGAAGTCAGAAATACCATTTTAAATAAATAAAAAGGACCTGAGACTAGACTGCACAGTCTGTGTAAACAAATACAAATTAAATTCCCACTGAATTCCCACTTCCTTATTTCATCTGCTTCCTGCTCCTACTCAAAGTACCTCTTTCCTGCATTGTAGAAAGTCTGAATTCCTGACTAAGACACTTGCAATCTATTTGATTGAAAAAAAGAGTGGCTTTACTTTTCTGAATAAATGGTGCATTTATTGGCTCCAGTTGTGTGGTGCTGTATGAAAGAGGATTACAGGGCAATTTTGGAGTGAATTTTATAAATTTGTGTTCCCTATGTCTCATTTGATACATTTTTATCTGTCTGGGTTTTCTTCTCTTGGATAACAGTCTCATTTTCCTTTACACCTGGGGAAAAAAAACCATAAATTATTGTTAGTATAAATTGAATAAAAGAGCAATAGGCTTCCTGGCTGGTGTGGCTCAGTGGATTGAGTGCTGGCCTGCGAACCAAAGGGCCACTGGTTCGGTTCCCAGTCAGGGCACATGCCTGGGTTGCAGGCCAGGTCCCTGGTTGGGGGACGCATAAAAGGCAACCATGCATTGATGTTTCTCTCCCTGTCTTTCTCCCTCCCTTCCCCTCTCTTTAAAAATAAAGAAATAAAATCTTTAGGAAAAAAAGCAATAGGTGATATAACTATATTACTCATTCATTCCTTAAATCTGACCATTTGAGTCGACCATCCCCTACCTTCCTTCAGTTTTTGTTCCTCCAATGTACAGGATAAGGTGACCTATCCTTCTAGAGCTGGAAAATGCCCAAGGTTCATGCTGCCTCTAAAAAGGGAGCAAAAAGGGAGAGTATCATGATACAAATGGTATGGGCTATGGAAAGTAAATATAGTTAAATGTTTCATTTTAGTATTGAGACGATGGATGTGTTCAATGCACAATTCCTTCAATTTCCCCTGTACCTTTGAAAATGTTTACAATAAAGCGTTAGGAAAAAAGAAAAGTGCTTCAGGTGAGACTAGGCCTGAGAAATGATCGTGAAATGGTGATGAAGGAATAATTGGAGATGTTGGCAGGAGGAGTTTTGGTGGAGTGGGAGGATGCAAGCCTCCTGGTTGGAATGGATGGGAGAGTAGAGGGGAGGAAAGAACTGGAGACAGCGAGTTGTAGCAGCTCCTTTGAAGAGCTTTACTGTAAAGGGACAGCAAATTTGTTGTAAATAGAGCAGTAGCTACAGGGGACTGAGGGAAGGAGGCTATGGGTGAAATGACAGCGTGCATGTATGCTAATGGGAGTGATCCAGTAGAGGGATGATATGTAATGATGTAGGAAAGGAAAAGAATTACAGGAAGGATGTCCTTGAGTTGCTGTTGGGGGTAAAATTTTGTGCACGGGCACAGGGGCTGGCCTTCGCGTGGATGGTTCATCTATAACAACTGGAGGGAAGGCAGAGAATATGAGTGCAGGTGCAAATAAAAGGGGGTGCGTATTGGTGGGAGCTTGCAGAATTCTCTTCTGATGACTTGTGTTTTCTCAGTGAAAGAAGAAACAAGACCATCACCTGAGTCTGAGTCTGTGGGGAAAAAATACATTAGGAATTTGAGAAGAGGGAAAAATATGTAAGAGCGTGTTCTAGGAGCACAGGAGAGTAAATGGACTGGGGAAATGGAA